AAGCAACCATATTTTTTGCCAAGATATCACAAGGATGGTCTCTAGGCCAATTGCTAACATGGTCTCTTCTGAAACCTCTTGAGCTGGGCCTCCCCTTTCCACATAGCTTTTTAGCACTTCTGTCTTCAAAGAGTTTACTAGGAAGGCCCATTAAGCTCTCCTCAATGTTCCATCTCTTTTTTAGCTCAAAGTCTTAGAGTCTTCTATTTTCATCTGAAAATAAATATAACCCTTGTCACAATAATAGCGTACTCATAGTACTAACATCCACGTCAGTCACTTTTCTCTCGATGTGATAAAACATCAAGGATAACATGGAGAAGGAAGCATTTATTTGGGCCACGGTTCTAGAGGGTTAGAACCCATGATGCCAGGGGCAGCAGGAGGCAGGCGTGCAACTGAAGCAGAAGTTGAAGGTTCATATTATGAACCACAAGCATAGAGAGTGAATTGGAAATAATGCATGGCATTTAAAACCTCAAAAACCCCTCCCCCGTGACACACCTCCTCCTGTAAGGCCACACCTCCTAATCCTTCCCTAGAAGTTCCACCAACTGGGGACCAGTTGCTCACATGGCAGAATCTGTAGGAGCTTCTCATTGGATCCACCACTGTGTGTTTCAGCAAAGCAGAAAGGAAAAAGGTGGGTCTTAGACTGGCTAATTCAAAGATAAGAGCTTATCTTCAAGGATAATGTCCAGCACAAGGGCAACACCTGCCCGTCTTTCCAAGGGAGTATTTAATGAGAATGTCTGTTGGCAAGGACCATTGCCTATCAAATCATCTTTGAATGGTAATAGATACTGGAAACTGAACAAAATTAACAATGGAGACAGAATGGAGAGGAGAAGGAGGTAGACTCAATTGCAAGCTATTTCTGGCTCTTTCCCTTCTTTGCCCAGGCACCCCATCTCTCTCCTTGCTTCTCTTGCATTCTCCCAGAGAATGGACAGAAGTGGCAAAGGATAGGTGCCTAACACTCTTCTTAATGCTGTTGCCCCGAGCACCTCAAGCCATTGAACTTCAGGTCTCTCTATGCTTAAACACGTGACACACAACCAGGATGTGGTTAAGGATACACAATGTCTTCTTGCATGATGACAATGGTATAAGAAGTGTAAATGCTAACATCTTCAGAATTTAGGAGCTCTTTTCAAAGTTCCTAATGTCTCCGAGAGACAAATCCTGCCTCTCCAAATCCATCTGAATTAGACAGAAGATCTCTTTCTCTCCAACACGAATAATATTTCTACTTACATGTAGGTCAGAGCCAGACAAACGGCTCTTGTGTCTGCAATCTATTTCAGACTTGGCTGTCATGACAACCGTGGGATTGGGCCCAGGTGTCTTCTATCTCCTGACATACAGACAGCAAGTTTGTAGGCCGGGCTGTGTCTGAGGAGCAGCACTTGGGCGGTGCCCTGGATGACTCAGCCTACGCTTCTCTGCGGGATGTCTGACCTAACTGACTGCAAAAAGCCTGTTCTCGGTGATCACTTATCCTTTGGATGAGGAGAGGCGTGCAGGAGCTTGGTTGGGATTGCTTACAGGCCAGGTTTCCTTGGGGCTGGATAGAAGAACAAGTTAGAGGCATCCTCCAAGGTGTGTTAAAAGCAAATTTGACTGATTTTCAGCGTGCTGGGGTCTCATTCTTTTTTAAATTATGTTTTCAGTTGAAATAGAATTATATTAGCCCACACACCCCCACATACCTTTTTTCTTTCCAGAGGCACATCCCACCATCTGTGGATTCTCTCCCATTCTGGAATCTCTTTCCTGTCCTCCCAAACTTTCAAGTTGATAGCCTCCTTTTCTTCTAATGTGTTTGTGTGTATGTACACACACACATACACACACACACACATTTGTGCATATATTTGCTATATAAAATATATGTTACATTCATCTATATGCACAAATCTATATAAATACAATCTGCTGAATTGGTTCTTTGGTGTTAGTGCAAATATGATTTCAAGGCTGACCACTCTACATTTGATAACTGATAATGGGGTGGAGGGCTCATGCCTGGGAGAGGCTACTTGTCCTTCTGCCTACATTCATTAGTTGCCTACAGTTCTTTGCCTAGGGTTGGAACCCTTGAAATAATCTCCCTGTCATGTTAACAAATCCACTGATCCTTCTACTGTTTCTGTTGTGAGTCAGTTCTAAGGGAGACAGTTTTATAGCAAACTATGGGATTCTGATTCTTAAATTTTTGATCCTTCTCTTTTGGGGTGTTCTCCGTGCCATAGATGCAGGAGCTGTGAGGCAGATGTATCCACTGGGGCTGGGCTGGGGCCCCCAAAAGCTGTGAGTCTCTATATCATCATGTCCTGCATGATTTTTCTGTCATGGTTTCCATTTGCTGTAGAGAAAAGCTTCTTTGATGAGGGTTGGGAGCTACACTTGTCCATGGGCCTAAGGATAAGATTTAGGGTGCGCTAAGACATGCTCATCTAACAAAGTAGTGAGAGTAGCTTCTTTTCTTAGGTCCATGACCTCACTAGCCCCAAGAAGCTGGCTTGGTTTCCAGTATCAGCCATTCTTATCCAAGGACACAGGTTCTGAAGTAATGCCCAAAGAAGGCAGTGCTGGATCACCTCCTATGCTACTCCGAGTTGTCCATCTGCAGGTCCACCCAGCTTGGGATTCCACTGGGGCGTGGATCACATCTTCCCTCCAGTGTGACCAGAAGGTCACTAGTCTTAGACCTGTGGTTCTCACATTATATTGCATAACAGAATCATCTAAGGACATGAAAACAACAGATCACCTGGCAAAACCTTGTCTTTATTATATAAGTATCTAGCCAAGACCATGAAGTGAGTGCATTGGTGGTTCTTAAGTTGCCCAGGGGATTTCCATGTATAAGCTGGACAGAGGCAGGGACTCACAGGATGAGCTGGGGAAGGCCTCTAATATCCCAGAACTTAGAGAGATGAACTTTCATAAGCACACACCAACATGGAATTTATTTAAGGATCTAAAGCCAGTGATTAAGAAATTTTTGTTGTTGTTTTTAAATATTACAAAGATTCATGAATGCTTATATGGTAGCTCAGGGGGTGTAGAGGCTTGCCACCACACTTGAGGACATCTCCTTGGAGTCGTAGTGATAGGAGAGAACTCACTCCTGCAAAGTTGTCTTTTGACTTCCACATGTAGCCTGTGCCACACAGACCCCCGCCAGACACACAAATGAAAGAATGAATGTTTTAAAAAAAAACTCTAGATTACAAATTCATTTGCTTACGTGACCCACAGGTGTCGATATCAGCCATGCTACAAGCTAAAGCTGCTATTTATTTCTCATTTATTTTTAACACAGAAATGCCCCAAACACGTAGCTTGCGGGGCCACAGCACAATGGTGTCGCAGATTGTGGACCCTTGGGAAAGCTCATCCCAGATCACAATAGGGGCTGAAGATCCATCCTTTCATCTAACCGTGGCAAGAGTCGTAACTCCGAGACTTGTTCTATGCCATCACGCCCTGACTACGCCTGAGCTTGTCTGATTTGCCGACCCTCTGTGATGGCCCAAGGACCTCGGCATGCTTGGAGAACTGCCGAGCTACCCCTTTTTCACGATCTTGAGGAAACTACAGGACTTTTTCCTTGGACGCAAGGAATTCCTCTTCCTACTCATGGTTCAGACTTTCTGAACTACAGACACACTGGAAAAAGGTCTTAGCAGAAAACAGACTAATCAATTTCCAGATCCTGGAAAACTCTAGAGTGAGGGAGCATTTTTGAACATGGTCTTGTCTTCCTCTGTGCTTTGTGATTTGCTTTCAGTGGGGGCTTCATATGTTGACTGGGCCAGTCTCTAACTCCTGAGTTCAAGGGATCCTCCTGCCTCAGCAGGCATGTATGACCGTGTTTGACTCACTTCTCACTTTTGCATTTTAGCCAACAGTTTGGGGATGTGTGCAAATATTAGTTTATTAGGCTCACAAAATGATAACTAATTGCTTGTTATGCATTAGACATTGGGTAACAAGACTGCTATTGACTCTTTGGATTCTTAGCCCATTCTAAGTTGTGAGTTACTGACTCCCCAATTCTATCAATGAAGTAAATCCAGCGACATAAAACCTTGCTCAGGTGAGTGTGAGAAGTTAACATGGAGGGTAGGTGGTGGTTATGTCCCTTCAGAGCCTGAGATCTGGAATTCCATGCATGGCCTCTGTGAGCAGTCAGCTGTCATAGCATTGTGCTGAGTGTACGTGTTGGGGCTACTTTTGTTTCCATGGGTAGTACAGACAAAACTAAAGGGAACATGGATGGACACACACACACACAGACACAGAGACAGAGACAGAGACAGACAGACAGACAGAGAGAGAGAGAGATATTCACGCAATGACCTCCCAAGTCCCTTTGCAGGGTGTCTGCCTTTGCTTCACAAGGCCTCCAACATTCTATGGGACCCTGGTGCAGCCCCCTGGTAACCCCTCAACCTTGCATACCCACAACAGACACAGCAACCCAAGGATGGAACGATGGTGCTGTTCGCCTGTAAGGTGGGCTTTCCTGCCTAGTTAAATCTCTCTGGCAATGCCTTCAGAGACATGCTCAGAGGGCTCTTTCCTAGGCAATTTCAACCCACATAAGTTGTCAATAAAAAGCAGCAATCCCATGAGTTATCATTTTTGAAAAAAAAAAAAACTTAAGTTCTAAGATGCATAGATAGAGAAACCCCTAAACTGGAATGTTTAGCTTAGAAACAATATGACAATGAAGACTGCCACACAAGCCTGTCTGGAGCCTAGAAAGAGACTGCTCACCACGGTCCCCAAACGCTGGAGCAGACTCCTTCCTTCCCTCCCAGAGACTCATGATTTTGCTCAGACAGCTTTCCCTAGTTTCCCACTCAGTATTAATGTCAGAGTAAGTTCCGCTTTAAACAACCTTCAAGCCAGCACTAAGCTTGTGATATTTGTCTCTCTTGAAGCAAGCGACAGGATATTAGGTAACCTTTATTGCCCTATCACATTCTGTCGTCAGAATCTGCCACAGTTGCTGATATTCCTTATTATTGATCAACTTAACATTTTTAATAATTGTGATTTCTGACATTGCTCATTCTTGCCGCAAGTGTGTGTCTCTGAGTCTATCTGTAGCTCCCTTTCCATATCCCCCTTCATTGATTGCCAGGAACGATGATTTTATTACACTTTTCTGGGCCCAGTTTTTCAAGTGTTTTCACCACTTCTCTTTGCACTCGCTCCTCTTTGTCTGTCTGTCTGTCTGTTATGGCTGTGATCTTGTTCTTTCTTCCTCTCTGTCCAGCTTCAGTGTAAAGGTCGCTCTGCTCATACCGCCCTCCCTTTGGTCTCACGGTCATCAATATGCTGTGAACGCCTGCCGCTCATTTGAGAGTGGCTCCTGCCTTCTGCTGTGATCTCCCTCTTCGACTCCTGGGTTATTTGCTGTGTGGCTGAATCTGTAAATACTCAAGGGATTGTAACCTTAGGTGTTTGCTCTTTCTCGACTGATACCCTTGTGGCCAGAGACCATCCTATGCTTGCTTTCTAACTTCTGAGTTGACTTGGTTTTGCTTTCTGTCTCAGAGTTTCATCAGTGCCGTAAATGGGCAACATCCAGTCACAGGGAATTTAAGGGGTCTGGATGAGAGTCTCAGAAGGAGTTAAAAAATATATGAATGGAAACATTTCTTTCCTCAGCTCAGTCCCCATGCTGCATGTGGCTGCTGCTTATGTGGAGATTTTGTGGGGTGGAAGTCCTGATCCACAGTGCCACAAAATAGCCAGATCTATTACATTTTAAAGCAAGTTTCTTCCAGGATACTGTGCCCACAAAAATATCCAGTAGAGTTCACACTGGGAACACGTGAGAGACGATGAAATGGGTAGGCTTGCTTCACGTTTCTCTTCTCTGCCCACTGCCCAGGATCACCTGGCAGCCCCCATGTGTGTCTCATCTTGTTGCTTTTACCCCCTATGAAAGGGCAGCCGGACTTCCAGCTGACCGTCTCGCTTACCCAATAGAGACAGCCAGCTGTAGAAAAACAGAGCAAGGAAAAAAGTCAGGAAAGAAACTGCCTGGCATTTCTTTTTAGCTTAACTCACCAGGCGCCCAATAACGAAATGCTTTTCCTGTTGTCACGGGCTCGGCAGCTTTGATCCGGAAATCCCAGGTGCCCAAGTGAGGGGTAGAGCTAGGAAAATTCAAGCAGAATGACATTTTCCAAGGAGAATTGGATTAGTGGAGGGGGAAATGCTGCCAAGATGAAAACCTTTCAGGATGGGGGAGCGATAAAGTGCAACGGCAACATCTTACCTTCAGCACGGTTCCCTTCACAGAGAAGGGATGTGACCTTTGTGTGAAGGAAACCTGGGCTCCACCACAGACATTTCGCTAATGCTAATGTTCCCGTACCCAGCTGCAAAATCCATCTGCGCCCTTCAAGTACTTTTCTTCTCCTTCCTGCTCTGGTTATTTTTCCGGGCACGCTTCTTAAACTGCCAGAACTCAGTATGATTTTACAACCTGGAGTCAAATTTTGGAAGCTTGAAAAAGAGCTGAGACGCAGACGCAAATGTGAGCTGACCTCTTTCACACACACACACACACACACACACACACACACACACACACACACACACACAGAGCTGTCAAGATAAGGGAACCCTGGGCTCTGCTGGTGTTGGGGAATATGGCTTAGCCTCACCTGAACTCACTTCCTGCTGGATAGGCCTCTTTGGTTGGCTGGGGTGCAGTGACAAGCTCTGCCTCTGGAGAACATGGGTTCCAGTTGCCTCTTGTCTTGGGCTTGTAGGAATGCCTCACTGCTTGGCCTTTCTGAGGCAGTTTCCTGCCGCTGAGTCCTGAGGGTGAGACAATCGGAGCACAGGGGATAGTTTTCTACAGAAGAACTTTTTTCAAAACCTTTGGAAGCAGAGGAGCCCTTTCTGTGTTTTCCTGCTTTTATAGGGATTCTACAGAGGGCACGCACGCGCTATTTTCTCATCTCCAGATGACAAAAGGGGGTCCAGAACCCTTACTTACCTAACATCTTAGGGACAGTAATTATGAAAGTAGAATTTGTATTTAGATTTATTTTCATTACAGGGGCCAGAATACACACACACACACACACACTATATATATATATATATATATATGTATGTATATATCTCCATATCTCCATACATATTCATACATAGGCATATACACCTATACGCAGTAAGGACTTTATATATTCAATCCACTTCATTGTTCATACTTGCATTGTTGTGCCTATCCTAACCTGGGGATAGAGGGGTTTTTTACTTGCTTATGAATGGCAGTTATGGGACTTTTGTTTGTTTTTCTGGTCTTGAATTCACAACATGGCTGAGGATAGCCTTGAACTTTTGATCCTCCTGTCTGTACTTCCACAGTGCTGGAATTACATGCCTGGTTTATGTGGTGCTGGGGTAGAACCCAAGGTTTTGGGCATGCTAGCCAAGCATTCTACCCAATGAGCCAAGCCACCAGTTCCACAAGTGTGGGACTTTGTGATCAAGAAAAAAATAAAATAAAGCAGGCAAGGGTTGAATGTCCTTATTACCCATATACCAAGCTCTGTGAAACTGCATCTCCTCCAACATGTTTGACCTTCAGAGTTGCTTAATAAGAAAGAAATCACAAAGATGGAGCCAGGGAATAATTCTAAGCACTCTCTGATCTTAAGCCAATCCTTTTGTCAATAGGAGGTTGCAGCATGGGGTTCGTGACATTTCCTAGTCACAAAAGGACTCACATTCAACGAGAGGGAAGTTTTCTAATTGTGGCTGTCACTTCTGTCACACCTCCCTGAACTTTGGGGGTGTCGGGGTGGGGTGAGCACATGAAAGCAACTGACAAGACCTGTGAGGATTCCCAGGGAAACACACGGAGATCGGAAGTTTGAACGCAGCACACAGGTGGGTGACTGACTATCACACAGCAGGCATGGGGTTCCAGTCCCTCAAAGGTGTCACAGATATTTGTGGTTCATAATCTTCTCCCCGGTGTTCAGGTTTGGAAACTGAAGCCCCGTGAGATCTGGGTCAACGAAGCAGAAGTGAGTCTGACTTTCGATTCTGATTCCTCAGCCTGTGCTCTGTGACAACTGGACATTTGTTATCTTCCGCATTGTTGGGACCAGATACCCGATACAACTTCCTTTCCTTTGTGTGCCTTCTGCTTCTTTCTATTCTGTCTGGAGAACAGGGAATGCAGATTCATCAATGGGACGGGGTTTGCCCTTAACCATGTATGTTATCTGACAATACCATTGCTAGTTACATCATCCCGAAAAAAAACCCAGCAGATTCGTTGGAAAGCACACCCTACTCTGTCTTCTGTCAGATGAGTTCAAGTGGGCGCTTCAAAACTATGGCTTTCTAAAACTTGTGATTTTCCTCTATGTGCCCTGGATAAAACCAGCTCCTTAATAAGGAACGGAACCTTTGCAGAATAATTGATTAGACGAGTCCTGGGCAAAAAAACCCCAATCCATTAGCATTTCATTTGCAGCAGCTTTATAAAGAGAATCATTTAAGGCATCTTCACAGTGTGTCGGCCTTGTCTGCACACCTACTTCAGTGCTCCTACACGGAGAGCAGCAGAGGAATATCGGTTCACCATAGTGGGTATGGAAAGCTGAACCACCTGAATATCATTCAAATGGTCTAATGGTAGCAGTTTCATAAGGCTGGATGCAATAAAAATGCATGGAATTTGGCAGGTAAGAAAAAAAATAGTTGGCTAGGTGGTACGCGCTTCACGGATTAACATTTTGAAAGGGTGGAACCATCAGCTAGGTGGATAAAGTAACCGACATTTCGCTCCATTTTGGTGCCAAGTTGGCACCTGTATGTGATATAAAAACAAGCCCACTTGCTGCTTGGATTCGTTCACTTGTTCATTCATTGACATTTTAGTAATCATTTACTACATACTGCATGATACCACTATGACAGCTGGACAAGACAGTCCTCCGTGACGTGGGAGGAGGCGGGGAGGGGAGTGGTTACTCATTTCTGTGATGAAAGCAACTCACAGAAGGAAGGGGTTCCATCCATCCCGGTGGGGCAGGCACACCAGCGAAAGCTAGAGACATCCGGTCACGTTGCATCCTCGGGCAGGAAGCGGAAAGTCATGGATTCTGGCATCACTTCCCTGTCTCCCTTTTATCTAGCCTGTGAGAATGTGCTACTTATAGGAGAGGGTGGGTCTCCCACCTCATTTTGGCTTTCCTGGAAACTCCCTAAAAGGCAAATATATCCCCACGGAGATCCTACATGGGGTCAAGACAGGAACATGACCAATGCTGACAGCACAGAGTCTGACTGTGATGTGGCTGACTGGAGAGCAGAGGCAGCAGACATGGAAGGAAAGGCTCTCTCCAGAGAGACGCTGGAAGGAATAGGAAGTGAGGTCTAAGGCGGGGAGACAGGACAGTGGCCAGATTCCGGGAAGAGAGCCTTGGGGTGAACGTCCTATGACAGGACTAGGTGAGACGAGAAACCAGGCTTGAAAATCATTTTATGAAGTTTGCCTGTTCTCTAGAGGGGACCAGAGCATCCTGAAGGTGTCAGAGAGAGGAAGGATTTGCATGTATTAGAACATGTGATCTGAAAGATAATTTAGGGGTCAGTTACTGAATTTTAAGAAAAAGGCTCAGGGTTTTTCTAGCACGGAACGAACATTGACAGTTTGGGCCAGCATCATCATTAGTGTCTCGGCGATTCTGCTGAGCTTCTGATGTCTGCTACCGCTTTGGGATGCCTTTTGTTTTTTAAACATCAGCTTGTCGTGGGTGGAAGAGTTGGTGATTGAGTCCAGAAGCCCTTTCTCCTGAAGTTTCTCAGGGGGTTTTGTCAAGAGCCTTTGTGGTCTCATTTTCTTTAAAAGTGAAGCACAAGGTGGGAATGGTGGCTCGGGCTTGTAATGCCTGCTTTGGGGGGCTCCATGGCGAATTCATAGTCAGCTTGAGTGTGTGCGATAACAACACAAGAGAAACAGGGGGCAGTGACCTGGCTTGCATATAACCTGCTTTGGAAATAAAAGAAAAATCTTTCCTTCCATCCAGCTGGAGCCTGACATGGCCTGACAAAGTTCCACGGCAATTACTTTTTAGTGCATGACAGGTCCCGTGTATGTTCCCATGAGCATGGCATGTCCCATGTATGTTCCCATGAGCATGACATGTCCCATGTATGTTCTCATGTGCATGGCATGTCCCATGTACATTCCCAGGTACATGCCATATGATACAGAGTAAGGACTGCTGGGCCAGTGTATTCTCCAACAGTCAAAATGTAGAACACCGAGACTGAAGTTTTATAACCAAAGGGCAAAATGTTAATATCTCCATTGCACTGTCCTGAGTACCCGTTCTTTCTTACTTTCTTGGCACAGTCATTTAATTTTTGTTTGTGTCTCCTGTGACATTGAAATCACATCTCACGATTATGCAGAGATCTCTGGGCCAAACAAGCATATTCAGTAAACACCTGCTGGTAAGAAGGAATACTGCAGACATGTCAGGTAGGTCGGGGAGAAAGAAGAGACCGGTACAATTCCCTGACTCCAGCTGGCTCACAATGAAACCTTTGGGCAAGATTGGAGATGGCTGATTTGGAAAGAGTTGGCAAGTAGGTAGTCAACCATTGCCTATGGGCAACGGCACGTTCATGTGTATTTATGATTTAATCTTCTCAGTTAAGTACAGAGTATATACTACTGTATGCAAATTAGCATGTCATTTCCTGTGGAGTTAGAGAAAAACACGGGTGGGAACTTGTGGCCAGGGACAGCACTTGTTGTTTAAGCATGAGGAGCTAAGTTTGGTTCCTTAGCACCCGCATACAAGCTGGGTTTGGTGTTGGGCACCTGGAGCCCAAGTGCTGAGTGGTGCAGAAACAGGTGGGTCCCGAAGACTTGCCGGCCAGTCCATCTACCTGAAACTCAAAAGTTTAGATTCAATGAGGAGGCCTAAACTCAAATAAAAAAAATGGAGTGCTATAAAAGAAGCCATCCTAACTTAAATGTCTCTGAATCCTTTTGATTACTCCACCATTTTAGGAAAATATAATTGAGTGCCTACCTCTATATCACCATTATTTTTAAGTGTTTTTATTCATTTTATAATTACACATATAAAACTGGAATATGTAATTTTCAAATGACTTAGCTGACACAGTCAGTTTCTAAAATGATTTGTTAATACTATTTTGATGACAATAGTAAGATGAAGTGTATTAATTATGAAAACTTAACTGTGAGGTTGGAGATGGGAAGTCCCATGGTGTTCAGTTGTTAAAAGGTTGTTTTAGGCTGATATGTACTCAGTGATAGAGTATAGCCCACCATATGCAAAGCCCTGGGTTTGATTCCCAGAAATTTACAAACTGTCATTTTAGCTTTAGAAAGCCATGTAAGTTAAAATGTAGGAAATGCATCCTTGGATTTTTTGTTTGTTTATTTTTGTTCTTTTTCAAGATAGGATTTCTCTGTGTAGTCCTGACTGTCCTAGAACTCTCTCTGTAGACCAAGCTGGCCTTGAACTCACAGAGATCTGCCTGCCTCTGCCTCCCGAGTGCTGGGACTAAAGGTGTGCGCACTACTACCCTGACACATCTTTGGATTTTATTTGACTATTTGCCAGTGATATTTCAGTCCCAATTACCAACTGTGCAAAGTTTTCTTTTTATTGTTATTTTCTTTTCAAGTTTGCCTCATAATCATCAGGCCCATCCAGATACCAACTGTTACTGCAACTTTATGAGAGGGTAGGTATGGTGTGTGTTATGTATGCTGAAAGATGAGACCTGAAGCCAGTAAACATCCTCAGGGAGATTTCTCTGTGTTAGGAGGCAGCAGAGTGTGGATGGGGCTGTGCAGAAAACAGCCAGGGCTGTGCGCATGCTCTGATCCGGAAGGTTCATGTGGGCCGGGAGAACTGTGAACACAGCCTAACATGGGGAGATTTTTAAAACCTGGTTGCAGTTCTCAAGTGTGAACTGTCTGTGTGACCACATTGTACTGCAGAGTGGAAAGGTTCCCCAGGCCTGGAGGCTGTGTCCTAGTCCTTAACACCCGCAAGTCCCACGCGGATGTGGTATCCTGAGACTATGCCTAATTATTCTGATAGATTTATTTTTAAAGCTTTTTCTACTAGAAAATCATGCCGTCTACAAACAGATCTGTTTTTACCTCTTCTGTCCCCGTTTAGATTATTTTTTATTTCTTAAACGTATTTTTTAGTTAGCATGCAAAGCAGCAGGCAGGTTTCGTTATGACACCTTCCTAGTCATATATAATTGTACCCAGCTAGTATTTCCTCCCTCGGCACTTCAGCCTCTCCCCCGACCCATGGGACTTCCTGTCTTAAAAAAAAAAAAGTAAAAATAGAATCACTGTATGACTCAGGAATTCTACCATAGCTGTGGCCTAAAATAATCAAAAACAGTTGCTCAGGTAGTTTTTTGTAAATATTCAAACCAGATTAACAACAGAGTACCAACAACACTGATATCCACCAATGAATATGAATAAACACAGCTGAGCATAGATGTGTATATAGCTGTTAAAATGTTTCTTTACTATTGGTGTGTGGGTAGGGGATGTTCACACACCAAAGGACTTGTGTGAAAGTCAGAGGGCAACTTCTCTAGAGTCCTTCTTTTCTTCCACCATGTGTTCCTGGGCTCAAACATGGGTTGTCAGGCATGCGCAGTTAAGCGCTGGGCCATCTTCCCAGCCCACATGTACACAATCAATCAGCTCTGAAAAGCAGGGAAGCATCGACAGATGCTTGCTTCAGCTTGGCTGGAAACATTTTCCATGTGAAAGAACCTGGTCCCAAATGATCACATGTTGAGTGTGTGTGTGTGTGTGTGTGTGTGTGTGTGTGTGTATGTGTGAGAGTGTGTGAGTGTGAATGTGTGTGCACGAGTGTGCACGTGCAAGTGTGTATGTGCACGCAAGTGTGAGTGTGCACAAGTGTGTGTGCGTGAGTGTGTATGAGTGTGTGTATGTGCGAGTGTGTATGTGTATGTGTGTGTATGTACTAGAAAACAATAAGGCTTTCCTAGTGAACTTCAGGTGAGAGAACTGCTGATAAGAAAGGGAAGGTTGCAACTAATTTTCTTTGTGTTTGGAGTTACAGCCATGGGCTACATGGGTAGACGTTCTGTACCTC